TATTTCAAGGCAAAAGGAAAGGAACCCATGGTGAGGAGAGAAGATAGATGTTAAAGAGAGTGGGAATAATTTGAGTATTTAGGTTCTAGAAAATAATTTTTTCTTCTAGAGAAGAGAGAGTAAAGAGATAGTATAGACATACACATATAAATATAAATGTATCCACATGCTATGTAAATACATAAAATTCATCTTGGAGAAGAAAATCAACCATTCTTATGCCATTTGGAAGAAAGATTAGAGAAGTGAAGGGAAAGGAAAAGGAAAAGCATTTACATAGTGCCTACAGTGTGCCAGACACCATGCTAAACTCTTTACAAATATTATTTTATTTGATTCTCCAACAACCTTGTGAGGTAGGTGCTATGATTACCCCTATTTTACAGTTGAGGAAACTGAGGCAAACATAAGTTAAATGACTTGCTCAGGGTCACACAGTAAGTCTTCCTGACTCCAGGTCCAGTGCTCTAGCCAGTGTGCCACCTAGCTGCATGAAGAAAGATAAGATAAGATAAACTGAAGATTTGTCTTCCTTTACCCTTTTCACCAATGATTTAGGGACTCCATAGGAGTCAAACACACTTGGATATGAAAAAAAATAGAGAGTAATAGGATTTGCTAGAGACTAGGCTAGACTCCTTGAGTTTGGCCTTTTGACTGAGTCCAAGTTTTACAGAACATTAGGGGGATTTGTTCTGTAAAGTTTGGATCAGTCAAAAGGCTGTACTTGAGGACCTAGAGGGCCACATGTGGCCTCAAGGCTGCAGGTTCCCCACCTATAGGACAGGCCCCTTTCAAAAACAGGAAGTAAGTTGATCACTCCGTGAGGGGTGTGTGTGTGTGTGTGTGTGTGTGTGGGAGGGGTGGGGGTTAGTGGTGGTGGTAGTGGTGTTGGTGATGGTGGCAGCAATGGTAAATAATCACTTCATTTCTCGCATCTGTCAAAGTGGACAAGATGATAACTATGTTAATTTCCATGACCAAGAGAGGGGAGTCATAATCATACTACTTATCATCAGTGGATGTCCATATGTCTACTATTATGTTATGAGGAAGGGCCCCGAGAAGAATAACTAATGCCTTGAGTGTGTAATTTGATTTCAAGGCAGGAATGAGTAATACCTTTTTACCATCCTAATACCAGTGCACTAAGAATCAGGTGATTGAAATTTGGGTGTCATATTCATACAAATATTACACATATGTCCTATATACACATTTCAAAAGATGCTAGGTCCCAAGCTTTATTTTTTCTCATTGCTATTACTTATGTTCAGAACCACGATGTCTGTATTGGAAAATGTTATTTCTACATCACATGACATGGCTGAAACTAGATTCAAAGCAGTCATAGTTTAACTTAGGAGTGGACAGTTATACTACTGATGTTTTCTTCCATTCCTTAGCACTGGCTTATTTCCACAATTCATATTTGAGGTTATCGTTACATAAAATTACTACCTTATTTCAAGAAAATTAGGGCATCTCTTTTTGCCTCTCTATCTTTAGACCTGAATAATTGACTATATACTACAATTCTCAGTCATATATGTGAAGGGGTAGGAGGGTGGAGGGAATGGGGGAAAATTGGAAAACTCACAAAACATTTTTTTCATAATCTCTTGGGGAGTTTTCTGGGGAAAAAATGGAAAACAGAAGTTTTTCTACCTTATTTTTCTCTTTTTTCCCCAGACATTCAAATTTTTGAATACGCTAAATGTGATACTTCAATGTGCAAATGAAGTCAAACATAGTGAATTTTAATGTTTCTAAGCTGACATAATGGCTAGATTTGTAAGGAATATTAGGCAAAGTAAGTATTTATAATTTTTCACTTACCCACCCCCAAAATTTCCTTTTTTGGCTCAAAGAAAATCTCCTTCTTCCTCACGGATTCCAAATTTTTCAAGAATTTGTACCTCATGATGGATGCTAGTAGAATATGTTTCCAATGATCTACATTTCCAGAACATAGGGATGCCTACTTTAAAGTTGAACAGAATCAGATGGAGGTCAGTCTCTGATTTCACCCATCCATTAATTTATTTGATCTCTTTAGAAGAAACACACTTGTTAAAATTACTTCAAATTGACTGTTCCACTATGCATCCTGTAGTTTAGGGTTCCATTCATACAGTGCTACTCCTCAGCATGATTCTTAATGAAACACCTAGAAACACAGGATTTCAGAATTTGAAGAGACCTTAAGAGATCAGCGAGGCTAGTCCAAAGTGGTCATTTTGCTGATGGAAAACCGAGGCCCCAAAGTCCGAAGTCACTGGATAATGATCAGATTTGGGGTTTTAGAAGTGGAAGGGATCATAGAGCTAAAGTGGGAAGGAGCCTTTGAAGCCAACTGGTCCCATTTCCTCATTTTGTAGAGAGGTTAAATGACTTATCCAACATCACATAGGTAGTAAGTAAAAGAATTGGGATTCTTCCTGGGGTTCTGTGACTCCAAGTTCATTGTTCTTTCTATTCTAGTCACTTGTTCTCACTTTACATGTAAAGAAACTGGAATTCAGAAGGCGAAGTTATTTGTTCAAGTTCATGCAGCTAGTAAGTATCAGAACCAGGATTCTTACTTAAAATGCAGTGTTCTGTGCACTATCCACAGCTTCTCTTAAAGAAATAGATTATATGTAGACAATGTGGCAATGTTTTTGGTTGACATGCATATTAGAATGGTTTTATTGTTTCCTTTTTGCAATGGTTAGGAGGAAGTGGAAATAAAAGAAAATAGATTTTTGTACATTGAAAAAATTAAATTAAAAATTTTAAATAGATCATAATATTATTTATAACATAGCTTATTACTGAGAGCTGGACAAGAAAGATGGGCAGGTAGGTGGAACAGTGGATAAAGCACCAGGCCTGGAGTCAGGAAGACCTGAGTTCAACACCAGCCTCAGACAAGTTACTAGCTGTGTGACTCTGGGCAAGTCACTTAACCTTGTTTGCCTCAGTTTCTTCATCTGTAAAATTAACGGGAGAAGGAAATGGCAAACCACTCCAGTATCTTTGCCAAGAAAACTCTAAATGGGGTCACAAAGTGTCTACTCCAGTGAAATTACTGAATAGCATACAACAACAATGACAAGAAAGATGAGAGAATGAGGTAATGATGGTGTATAAGATAAGCAAATGAGGAATCAGGTGTTGGAGAGAAAGAAGGAAGAATAATCCTAGTAGAGTTGTCATGGTTTTAGAAAGGCTGTTGTGTGAAAATGCCATTGACCTTGATCCCTCTGACCCTTTGGAAGAAATCTGTGAACTCCCTAATTATTGTCACCACCATCGACAAATATACTGCTTTATTAACAATCTATTTGAATCTTAAATCCTGTGGGCAAGCAATCTAACTCTCCCTTTGCAGTTAATAGAAATCACTTTATGAAAACTTAACTATATAGTGACTCCAATGCTAAAGAAAATTTGCAGGCATTTGGCTCCATACAAGTGACCCTAATTTCATGAAAAGCCTTTATTACTACTGATAACAGTAAAAGCCTTGAGAATGGGTAGGTAATAGAAAGCAGATAAGGGGTTGATGACTACTCTGGGTAAAACATATGGGCCCCAGAACACATTTTAAGTACAGAAGATAAATTAGAAGTGATTACCAGAATTCATGCTAAGCCTTGATTTTTTTTTCCTTCTTTCAGTTTTAGTTAAGCCGCATGTGTTTTTAGGTTAGCACCCAAATAACAAACATACCTTACAAAGACCCCAAGAGCATTAGGCATTCACTCTGGAGATTTTTAGTCAGAAATGCAAATGTAGACTAGCGTGTGCTGAAGCTGTGCAAATGGTTTTGCAAAAAAAAATTTTGTACATGCTACATGTGCTAAATGGTCTTCTCTCTCAGTCAGGGTCTCCCATACCATTTCTGCTTTCCTGGACTGAGCACAGGACATATGTTTTTAAATCACTAGGCTTTATGAGGTTGGAAAAATACTTCTCTCTAAACAGTAACTTACTGCTGATTAAAAAACACACAAACCAGCCAAAAATAATCCACAGTACTTTTACTTAACATCTGCTTTCTTTCCTCTCCCCTTCTGCAAGCTTACATAATCTGAGATCTCTACCACTAAGGTACTTCTTTGATGCCTCATCACCACTTGCAGGTGACCCTGGGTTCTTGAAAGCTGTGCCAACAGAAAATAAGTCCCAGAGGTCCAACCAAGATGGAATAGATCTGAGTATCAGTTCAGTATCAGAGCACCAACCTGGTAAAGTTTAGAAAGGTCCTTTACCCAAGTGGTGGTGGAGTGATGGATAGTTTATTTGTTTGTTTGTTTTGATCATTATGCAGCCCACAACTCACAAAGACAATCCCTTCAAGTGCAGTGAGATCAGTATTTACAATGGTTGAAAGGCATATCTATTCTGATGATCCTTGAAACATTGGTTCTCTTAAGATGGGAAGGATATAGGATCAGAGCTGGAAGGGACCTCAAAGGCCATCTAGCTTGATCCCTTCATTTTACAGATGAGGAAACTGAGGACCAGGGAGGTTAAGTCATTCACCCAAGGTCACACAAATAGTAAGCATCAGAGACAAGATCTGAACCCAAATCCTCTGACTCCAGAGTCAGTACTCTGTCCCTGGTACCATGATGTTTCTTAGGATTAAAATTGTCACAAGTAAATTTTCATGGCTCTATCTTTATTACTTTTATAACACCTTATATGCCAACTTGATAATCCAATGAAATGTGTTACCGATGTTTTTACCACTACTATGAATAATACACATTACAAACAAGAAAAAGAAAGATAGGGAGCTAGGCTCTTGAAAGCAGATACCAAAGACTAATCAGTTTAATTTCCCACCATATTGTTGTGATTTCTCCCTTATTTGCCAAGTGCCAACCCCCTGGTTTGAGCAGTTGGTCCTTTCTTGGATCTTAGGTCATTCTGCCTTCTCAGGAAAATATTCCCAGGAAGTGTTCCTTTTCCATCTTTGTTCTTTTTTTTCTTTCCCCTTTTCTTAGTTGCGGTCAAGCATGGAGCTCGATCAGGATATCTTCAATAATTGCCTCACCATTCAGCCTCTCCAACCTACCACTTCCCCACAGGATGTTGTAGATGGTACCATGGGAAGATCTCCAGGATCTGTCCACGACATCTATTCAGGTAAAAAAAAAATAGGGAATGAAGGTGAAATGACATTAAACATCTGTTTTTCATCTTTTGTTGTTTAAAAAAAAATTCTCACTCAAGATAAACCTCTTCCTTAAAAGCTATTGTATTTTGCATTTAACATGTAGCTACAGATGGGCATGTATGTGTTTTTCATGATTCCCTAGATAATTTTGGCAGCTGACTGTTTTTTCTCATAAAGAAACAAAGTCAAGGAAAACATTTCTCCTACCAGGACTGGACTGTTGCCAACAGTTTTGTTCACCCATCCCTTTCAGTCACCTTAAATTCATTAAACTTGATTTAGAACTCAGAAGCAATGTTCCCCTTAAAGCAGGTCGCAGGCTGCTTGTGTGTTCCCTAACAGAACAACATAAAGCATGGTCTTCTTTGCATTTTAAAAGGAAGTCCTATTAAGCCATGTTCTCTAGGAAAATACAAATCAGCAAATTAGGTTGATGCTTTTTCATTACTGTTTGTCACCATCCATAATGTTATGACTTCCAAGTCATCTTTCCCCTGGCTGGGTTTAAGAAATAGCTGACTTAGTATCTGAATATTTCATGTATGTATTGAGAAATGAGAAAGGACCCCCTATCCAGGAGGAAAATTATTTTCATTCTAAAGACTCACTGATTTGGTGGCATCGCTTAGGTGAAAGACACGCGTGGGTGTGTTTTCAAACTTGACAGTTCTCCATCTGTTCATTCAAATGCCAAAAAAATACGTTAAGCAAATTGTTCTGTGAGGCCCCATCATCAAGAAATATATAGTAATAATAAATGTCAATTATATTGTGCATTTAATGTTTGCAAAGCATTTCACATGCTTCATCTCACTGGAGTCTCATAGCCTTCTTGTGAGCTGGATACTCTGGGTATTTCTCCTGTTTTATAGATGAGGAAACTGAGGCAGGCAGCAATTAAATGACATGCCCAGGGTCACCCAGCTAATAAGTGACTGAAATGAATTTGAACTCTGGTCTTCCTGACTCCAGATCTAGTGCTCTGTTGATTATGTCTCTTAGATGCTTTTAGTTCAACCTATACGGAAATAAGAATTTCTTCTATAAAAACAACAGGATTGAACACAGTGCCTGCCAAACAAGAATGCTTGATAAAATGCCTGTTGATTGATTTATTGAAAGATAAATGACTTGCCTATGGTCACACAGCTAATAAATGTCAGGATCACCTTGGATTTTAACCCAGATTTTCCAGACTCCTAAGTATAGCACTTTGTCCACTGGTGGCTGTCTTCTCTCATTTAAAGGTCTTCAACTATGGCCTTGGCAATGTACTAGAATCTTCAGAGATTTTTAGACTTTAGAGATAATACAGTCTCTGCCCTTGGGGAACTGACAATCTAGTGGAGGAGATACTTTTTGGACAGAGTGCTGGAGTTGGAGTCACTTTTTTGATCTTAGGCAAATCACTTCCCCTTTGGGGACCTCATTTTCCTTCTCTAATGAAATAATAAAATAAAGTGTTTGGGTTATACAGTATATTAGTTTCCTTTCAACCTGAAAATCCTATAATTCCTGTGAGGTAAACATGGGCCACAATGACCAAATGTTACAGAGGTACAGCTCCACATAAAAACACATTCAAAAATTTGACTACTTATACCCACCTATAAACACATATGTGTGTGTATGTATCACACAATCTTGTGTATGACATTAACAGTAAAAGATTGTGGCTGAATTCTCTCTGGGTTTAACAGACACATTTCCCTCGTTTAATGTATTTTGACATGCACAAATTCATTTTCTTACTTTTAACAAAAATTTGTTAAGTAAATCCTTTGTAATGGATGAGGCTTAATGCTGTGTTTGTTTATTAATCATCGTGGTTCTATTTACATGGTGTTTCCAAGCTATTTTCAGGATACATCATTTACTATAAACTTACTAAAACACCGAGGACATATCAGGGGAAGAAAAGGAAAATGATCATGATTTCAATCCTCTGATTTTATAAAGGAAGAAACTGTCCCGGAGAGGTTCACTGATTTGCCTGGGGTCACAGAGTCAAAATTTGGATATAAGAATTTTGATTCTAAACATAATCCTTTCCCCTCAGAGGTCAGAAAGTAAAAGTAACACAAGTGCAAAAAAAAAATAATAAATAAAATAAGAGACTATAAACTAATCCATTTCCACATAAAAAAAAACGAGAGAAAGGGGGAAGGTGAATGGAGAAAGGTGAACGATTTAAGTAAATTGAAAAGGAATTAGGATTTTTTCCCTTTACAGCCCCAATAACACACAAATTAAGGCTTAGGAAAAAAAATAAACCTCTCAGTGAGTTTTTCCCTTGAGTTTACCTTACCATAAACATCTGGTGATGGACTCATGCCCTTGGAGGTGCAAGACCAGAGCCTCTGTAATAGGACATTAGACACCAATGTTATTCAGGAGAGGGCAAAACATTTGGGAATTTCAAGTGTGAAGAAGGTAAAATCTCTGAAATGGAAACTTTTAAAACCAGCAGAAAGTCTTTTACAGGGCATAGCTAAAGCTCTGAAATGGAAACTTTCAGTGCCAGTAAAGAGTAGTTTGCAGAATTTTAAGGGAGCCATAGTTTGCATAACATTAAGACAACTGGGAAGGCCGCCACTGAGATACAGATACATTTTGTAAGTTTCCTGAAGTGCTGAAAACAACGGGTGAAGAAAGTCGATACACACATCACCAAATTTCACCAGATGATGAGATGGACCATCACTGGAAAGGTGTGGCCCCCAAGACATTTATTTAATGCAGAAAACGTGATTGTACCTGGGTTCATTGCAGTCAAATTTTATTTAACGTGTGTTTTTGGAGGCACAGTTAAAGATGATTTCAAGTTGAAGCTTTCCTCTTAAATTATTCTGAAAATCTTAGCTCTGCAAAAGGCTGCTCCATAGTAGAATCTACTAGCAATTTGGTGATCAGGTGGAAAGGATGGATTGGCAAGGATGGGTCACTCACTGTTATTGCTGCTGCTGACCTACAGTTTTGGGCCATTGACCATAAGGCATTACCTATTTCCCCAATAATGCCCTAGGCCAGTCACTAAAAATTAATGGAAGAGATAAACCTGCAGTTGGCAGCTAGGTGGTACAGTGCATAGAGCACTTGCCTGGAGTCAAGACTTGTCTCCCTGAGTTCAAATCCAGCCTCAGACACTTATTAGCTATGTGTCTCTGGACAAGTCACTTAACCTTGTTTACCTCAGTTCCTCATCTGTAAAATAGGCTGGAGAAGGACATGGTAAACCACTTTAGTATCTTTGCTAAGAAAACCCCAAATGGGATCATGAAGAATTGGACATGACTGAAAACAACTGAACAACAACAAAAACCTTCAGTTAAAGGAGGTATGGTAGGTCTAGAACATCTGGGTTCCCTGGACAGCTGCTCAATCACGGAACTCACTTTCTTCGTAATGTATCCAGGAGAGAGGGAAATAGGTCAGGGAGTGTTCACAGTGAATGACTGCTTTCCAGGTGATATACTATGCTAGAAATTTAACAAAGCAGAGTAACCCTTACAAATAATAAATTCACTGTTATGTAGTGCTTTATAGCTTACAAAATGAATTTCTTGTAAGTCTGTGAGCGATAAGTAAGACAAATGATATCATTCCTGTTCTATGGATGAGGAGGCTGAATCCCAGAAAAATTAAGTGATTTGTGCAAGGTTATGCAGCCAGTTATCACCATAGTTAAGGACTTGAAACCAGAAATTCTCATGCTAAGACTAGTCCTTTTTGTGGTGTAGTAGATGGGGGATGGGGCACATCTGTCAGACTTTGTTCTTGGTATCAGGAATACAAAGACAAAATAAAACAATCTCTTCTCTCAAGGACCTCGCATTCTACTGGGGGAGATGATAAAGTACAGTAGAAAGAATGACAAATCTAAAGACAGAAAACCTGGGTTCAAATCCTCCATCTGTTTCTTACTACCAATGTAATCTTGGCCAAGTCACCTGACTTCCCTGGGCTTCATTTTCCTCATCTGTAAAATGAGGGGCATGGACTCAGTGGCCTCTGAGGTCTTCTTCCAAATCTAGAGTTAGATCCTATGATTCTGTGGATGTATCTTAAATCTCTCAAAAATCTTAATGCATTTTTAAGCTTTTAAAGCTGAGACCAGGGAAGGCTTTATGCAGAAAGCAGTGCTTGAGTCAAGTGTTGAAGGAAGTAAGAGATTTTGTGATGGGCACAATAGGGGGAATTTACATTGCAAGGCCAATTTAACTGAGATGGAGAGTAGTGGAAGGGGAATGATGCAGAAGGAGGCAGGAAAGGTAAGTTGAGACCAAGTTGTGAAGGACTTTAAATGCCAGACCAGAATTTATATTTTATCCCAGAATCAATGGGAAGTCCATGGATTTTATTGACTAGAAAAGATACATAGTCAGACTTGAGTTTAAGGGAAGAAAAGCACTACATTGTACCCCTTTTGTGACTTGGGCAATGAAGATGCCATAAAAGCTTGTCTGGTTGAGTTGGCGAAGTCCCACAGAAGATCTATGAAGTGAAGAACTGAGATCCTTATGGGAAAGCCTCCAGAAGATCAGAGTAACAAAGGGTTCACCTGTGCCCCTTCCACTGATGAGAAAGCAATTTTGTCACATTCTGAAGTGCGTTTGCAAATCCTGGTAAAATCTCTATCATGAACTAGGTCTTGGGTTTTGAAGCAGCATTAATGTCATGCCAAGTTATTATACAGAAATGTCACCTATGTCCAAACCCACACCTGAAAAGCACTGACCACTTGTCCAAAAAGGTGAGATTTCTACTTTCCCTTTTGTTACTGGAAATCATAATGTGCATATGTTATGCACAAATGATATCAGATATATATCAGCAAATGACTGATCCAATTTTTATGTATTTAATATTACAAGTAATTGTGATTGGGTCAGTGTAGAATATTCCAAGTGTGCAGATTGTACCTCCATTTAAGACTTGGATTTTACCTGTTATCTAGGACTAGTTAAGT